ATTATCTATACCGACTCGGCCATAACGTGAAAGTCAGCAATGTGATGCTTAGTGTGCCTGAAGAAAACGTTTGAGCCGGAATTAAATTGATATATTTAATGTGGAAAGATATGAGTTACACTGAAAGTCAACGCCTGCAAAGCTTTCATGCCATATCGACCATTTTTTCCTGCGTCCATGATTTTTGACCTCTCCGTGTTAAATGTTTCATGCGAATTCTTTCGGTCATCTTATCTTCACTTTTAAAGATCATGTGGTTTGGAATCTATACCACTACAGACCTAAGGGACTGCTTTAATTTGACGAAGTCCTTTATGGTCGCAAGAAGTGTATACCAACACATTTATTTTCATAGGCAGTATTTGTGCACAAACACCGTCTGAAATAAGGCGATAACTAACCACCAGCAATGTATAAGCTGGAACTACTTTTGAAATAATGTCCATCTTGTGCTAAGGTGAGCAAGAACTCAACTTAAACAAGGAATAATAAGTGAAATTCTTAGGTGGTTTACGTACTTTTACTTGGGTAAACAGTTTAGAAAAAATAGGCATAAAAATACTATTACAGTCACATAAATGAGTGCAAATATTGCTTTATGTGCAATCATTAGCGGTTATATTGGTTAAAACATCGATTGGCTTCAAGTACACGGAGATGCATTACTCAGGTAAAACTGGAACTACTTACTTACTTACGCCTGTTACTCCTCGTGAAGGAGCATAGGCCGCTCACCAGCATTCTCCATCCAACCCTATCTCGGGTAATCCTTTCCAGCTCCTTCCAGTTCCTATTCATTCTTTTCATATCTGCTTCTATTTCTCGACGTAATGTGTTCTTAGGCCTTCGTCTTTTCCGCTCCCCTTCAGGATTCCAAGTTAGGGCTTGTCTCGTGATGCAGTTTGACGATTTGCGTAATTTATGTCCTATCCATTTCCATCGTCTTCTCCTAATTTCTTCTTCAGCTGGAAGTTGGTTTGTTCTCTCCCACAGAAGGCTGCTGCTGATGGTATCCGGCCAATGGATGTTGAGTATTTTGCGAAGACAGCTATTTATAAATACTTGTACCTTCTTGATGGTGGTTGTTGTAGTTCTCCAAGTTTCAGCTCCATACAGTAGAACTGCCTTGACGTTGGTGTTGAATATTCTCACTTTGATATTGGTTGAAAGTTGTTTTGAGTTCCATATGTTCTTCAATTGTAGGAATGCGACACTTGCTTTGCCAATTCTTGCCTTTACATCTGCATCTGAGCCTCCTTGTTCATCGATGATGCTTCCCAGGTATGTGAAGGACTCTACATCTTCCAGAGTTGCGCCATCAAGAGTGATTGGATTGCTGTTCTCAGCCTTAAATTTGAGGACCTTGATTTTCCCCTTGTGTATACTGAGGCCTACTGATGCAGAGACTGCTGCCACACTGGCTGTCTTTGTCTGCATATGTTCGTGTGTATGCGATAGGAGGGCTAGGTCATCTGCGAAGTCCAAATCGTCTAATTGATTTTGAGCTGTCCATTGTATTCCGCGTTTTCCTTCAGATGTCGAGGTCCTCATAATCCAGTTGACCACCAGAAGAAAAAGGAAGGGAGAGTAAACAGCCTTGTCTGACTCCGGTCCTTACTTGGAACGCATCTGTCAGCTGTCCTCCATGCACGACTTTGCATTGTAGTCCGCCGTATGAGTTTCGGATAATATTGACAATTTTCTCGGGAACTCACTCCGTAGTGTCGAAGAAGTTTCCATAACGTCCTCCTATCCACACTGTCAAATGCCTTTTCATAATCAATGAAGTTGATGTATAGTGGCGAGTTCCACTCAATTGATTGTTCGAGGATGATCCGTAGTGTTGCAATTTGGTATGTGCACGATCGATCCTTACGGAATCTAGCTTGTTGATCTCGTAGTTTGGCGTCTACTGCATCTTTCATCCGGTTCAGCAACACTCTGTTGAAGACCTTCCCTGGTATTGACAGTAGTGTAGTGCCTCTGTAGTTTTCACATTTGCTCAGATCTCCTTTCTTTGGAATCTTGACGAAGTGCCCTTCTTTCCAGTCCATCGGCACTTATTCCTCCTCCCAAATCTTTTTGAATAGAAGGTAAAGTATGTTTGTAGTTACTTCGATGTCTGACTTCAGTGCTTCAGCTGTTATGTTGTCGGGTCCCGCTGCCTTCTCGTTCTTGATTTGTCTGACGGCCACAGTTGTCCTCCATACTAGTTTCTTCTTCTTTCAGTAGATCTCGTAAGGCTTGGAATCTGTTGTTGAGAGCTATCTTGAATTCATTGAGTTTGTCAGTATCTCGAAGGAAGGCTGTATTGAACCAACCAACATCTTCATTGAATAGCAGTATGACTGAGGTGATCACAGGGAAGCAAAATATCTGAACGAAGAGAAAGTCATCTAGGACTTGGAAGCCACAAAATGACACCACTGGAAGCATGTTCGTACAAAATATACGAAGGAAATGGTAAGTAGGTCGTGGTAATTGTGTAACTAATGAAGATACAAATTAAAGTGAATCATGTCTTGGCCAACAGTGTCTACACGAATCTCTTTCATTCATTTATCCATGGTAGACCGTATTACATGGTCGGTCAATCGTTAAATCCAAATGTCAACAGACGATTAGTGCTGTAAAAGTTCGATTTTTGTCCAGTAGTCGTTTAAAGACTCGCTGAAGCAGATGAAGACATATTGTTAAAACCTGTTCACTTGCTAAATCTGCTATACCGAGGGTATCTACCAATGTTTTTTTTTCATAGATGTATTTGGCTAATCTCCAGTAGTGAGTTTGCAGAAACCTCTGTTCCACCATAAAACAATGAAACTCGAAAAGGCTACATAAATACCTAGGTTCCTACCTGATGATCTACTCCCACTAGATATGGAAGTCCGTTAAGTGAACGCTCCTTTTATTCTGTCCACAATCATTCGAATATATTTTACTCAAGTATAAGGCAATAGCTTTCCTCCAAATAGATTTTTCCAACTAAGCACATAAGTTGAAATTATGGCCATAAATAAAGTACTGATGTCTGAGATACGTTGTGTGGATAATATTAAATCGTTCAGAGCTAGCAAGGGAGTTATAAAACGCTCGATTGTCTCTAAGGGATAGCAAAATGTCACTGAGCCACAGTATAGTCACCCAACAGGCATGGCTTGTGTTGAACGATCTAGCAAATCTCGTCAACCAGATCGGATCAGTTTGCACGCCACTGACTCGCCGATACGCTGGTGGTCGCATTCTATTCCTCCTATCCTTACTAATACACTTCTGTAGTAACGTCTATATACAATCATCAAAGTAGCCACGGTACCTATATACAACGAAACAGTAGTGCACCCTAGGTATTGTGAGGTATGACCTTGATGTCAGCTAACCCGCACTATTCCCGTACAACTTGAGTAGCCCTCATTTTCTGCATTGGTGATTGATAAGGATGTTAAACTCGAAGTTTTCCAGGCCTTACGAAGTGAAGTCCAAAAAGAGTAAAAAACGAATACAAACTTGACAGGACAAAATCGGGCAAAATGGCCACTCAAGAAACTTCCAATGGATCGACCCAAACACAAACAAGGACGAAGACAATGATGGTCACGAGAAAATCCTACTTGATTCCATGTAGAAGTGTAGGAGTATGAAAATCGCAAGGTAGCCATAAAGGATAGGTGTTTTATGTCGAGTCGTGCCATAATCCTCAAACGGATATAGCCAATCGAGGGCTAACAATTATTGAGTGCATGATTTAGACAGTCCATACATGTATTACAACCTTTTAAATTTCAAATCTTATTGCTTCAACTTAATCCTTTCACCTTATATATATTCTTTGAAATTACCAGTCAGTACCTGTCTTCGGTGAGGATTTCGTCTCTTCACTTATCATTTCAAAACTTATGACGAAAGCTAGGGAATAGAGTATAACGTTGTTCCTGAAAACACAGGCAACTGTGACTACAAAACATATGACTGTAAAGTCAAAAGTTCCAACTGATGGGGCTATAACATTACAGAATCAAATCCCATGCTCATCATAAATGCCTGATTATGGCATAACTTATCGTGACCATCAAGTGTCACTGAAACTGTTGTCTTGATGGAATTACTTAACAGAAAACGGAGCAGACTTACACAAAATTGCAGAGCAGTTCACGCACTATGGACTGCCTTTGTGATGCTGCTGCGAGTTTGAGTTTAAATAAACAAACCATGTGCCAGGTCTAAATACCCAGAAATGTAGAAAACGAAGAATACCTACGGATCACAACTATTGAGGAGTGCCTAGACAATCGGATATTTAGTACGAAATGTGTCTGAGCAGCATGATTGAGGGGGCATAATATTTCTTAGATAAATCTATTAAAAGATGTCGGTTTCTTAAACTAAGAAAACTGGTTTTTTCATGAACCCCGAACATTCTAATCACTTTACTGCATACCAACTTATGCTTATATTGGTCACTACTAAGATTAAAATGCATTTCTGGAAAGCACCTACAGTTTAGTAACTACAAGTGGTCTTTGACACTCTTGAAATATAGTTTTATACTGCTATAGCTTACAGGTTTTACGTGGCGTTGATGCACCACATTGGTTTGGTGTACTATTCGGAGATGTTTTGAAATATACACAGTGCCGATTAATAACACGATATTAGCCATTGCATTGATGTATTGCCATGAAGCACATTAGTGAGTGTCTGACGAAATTATCTCTGTGATCTCTAAAATATGAATACTCAATAATTAATAGCTTTTCTTTTGATAGGTTCTCCTTAATTAAAAACAGCTCTTAAGGAAGAATGTACTTACATTACAATAACCTTTCGAATAGAAAAGAAAAATATCACAAAACGGAGCATCCTCGGAAAACAACCACATAAAAAATATTAGATAATGCGTAGTCAGTTGAATAAAATGAATAGTCTAACACTAACTAAAAAATATTTTACATCAAGATGTTTATGTTTAAGAGAGAGAAGTGAACATACATTTTTTATATTCACCATACATAAGGAATCAGCATAGCACGTTTAGATGCCCACTCAGGGAAATTATTTTTATACCAATTATGATTTAGCCATATACAGCATAATTGATTGCATATTGTGAAAAATAATATATGCGAAAATGGTATCCATTTAGGTGTAATAAATAACTGACATGATAAGTAGATTGATATTTCAAGTATGTAGTGCGGGCACGATACCCAATAAAACATGCTCCCTTCGGGTGGATAATACTTTTTCTCCGATAACTTGTCTAAAAACAACAATAAATGTTTTTAATTAAGCGAAACGTTGGTAAGCTATTTAAAAATATGAAAAAAAATTGAATTCTATAGTTTAAGTGAATTCTAATTTTATTTCAATGAGTTAGAAACATGCAGAATATCCAAAGCCAAAAAGTATAATTCACAAATAATTTATCACATCAGTATGGGGGTTGTGGAGATTGTTAAGTGTTTGGTTGAGATCATGAATTAATTGATGTTAGACCACCGTTGGAAACCTGGAAGCACTGGACGGCCGTTTCTTCCTGGTATGGGACTCCTCAGCAGTGCGCATCCACTGCGGTCTAACATCAATTAATTCATGATCTCAACCAAAATAATTTATCATACTTTTTTTCCCTAATAAGACCGTTGCAAAGTCAGGTAATTTGATTTTCATTGGCTAGCTTATATTCCAATGGTAGTTCTAATGCTCACCGATTAGTTTGCTAGATGAACACATAAATACTAAGCATATAAATGTAATAAGTTTTGTGAACTGAACAATTCTAATATTCTACCATCTATATCGCAAAAAGCTTGTAATCGTGTTACATAAAACCATGTCATTTACACCGATGTGTTTTTAATTACCCAGTTAGTGAAATATAATTCATAATCACATGACTATTAGAGTTAAGCTAAAAGTCTATAAAAGATTTATTATAAATTTTAAGATATTTTTTGGATGGAATAAATTAACAAACCTCCAAGAACTAGATAAATAAAAAAGGATAAAGATTGAATTGACAGAAAAATTCCATATACATTACGTTTCGACCATTTGTGTGAATTAGCATTTTTCTAATTGAATTATTGAAGTGTTTACCAATAATCATCAGTAACCATAGTGACCAAGTTTACAGTTGATGGCATCTGTTGATAAAACTATTTTGAAAATATACTGAATTAAAGCAAATGTTACTTTAACAAGAGTTCAGAACAAGTAACACCAGCTGGTTAATTACTTATCACCAATTTTTTTACTGGTTTTCATCTTAAATCATAAAGTATGCGAGATAAAATAACTAATCAATGATTCAAAAACGTTTTTGAAGTAAGATAACTAATTATCAAATACAGTTGTGTATTAATAAGGATTTGTAATTTCTCTTTGCTGATATTTAGCATCGCAGATGACCAGTCTCTGTTCTGAACTGCGCCTGGAGCCCATCTGGAGCTACTGCCGGTTCCAAGCCCTGATAAAGAAGGCGGGTTAGGCACGGGGTTAGCGACCCCATTCCGTAGAAAACTAACTCGTTAAAAAACGCTAAAACTCTCTATTTTGGATTTTACTGCTACTCAAATACTGAATATACTATATTAGACACTAGTTTGTCACATATATATGAATCTAATAAGCGATGAATTCAGTTTTAAATTGTTACCGAATTACAAGAACAATCAATAAAGCCATGGATAACGGTAAACCTTACTACTTAATGCAGAAAACTCCTAAACTTTAAAATCAGAGTATTTTACTATGTATAAATAGCTTCAAGAAAAATTAATAAACGAAAAATACTGTACTTTCAACATAAAGCATAAAAACTTTGGTCATATATTATGCCATATGATGAAAATGTTTTTATTTAGATATCATCTATGGAAATAGTGAGAAATCAAACTGTCACTGTACATCTAAGAAGTCAACTAACATTTATAAACAAGTTGATAATCCGAAAATTCCTTAATCTTTTAACTTGACCTGCTTAACTTCAGGGCTAGTCTACGTGAATTAATCTGTTCAAAATCTACTTAGATTAATTCAAGAATGTGAAAATCTATTCATTATCAACTTCTGAAGTGTGAAGAATAACAGTTTTAAACACTCTTTAATTTAATTACGATGTGTTGAAGAAATGTTGTTGCTATTAATTTAAAATGATATTCACTGCATTTTGTAACACAGTTAATTGACTAATAGTCAATGAATGTAAAGCAAGAGATCGAAGGATGTTGATTACGTGGGAGGTATGTATGAGGGAGCTACGGAGTTCATGGCAAACATTCAATCGCAACTGAAAAGACCGAGCTGACGGAACGGTAAAGATGAGTTGAACACAGTGAAAGTGCAAACTGTGCATTCCAATTCACCACTTCAAAATGAAGAGAACTTCATCACGTTCATGCATAACAATAAATAAATGCATTCTTTAAAGCATAGGTATGATATTATTTGATAATTTGAGTGAATATTCATCAGACTAACGAAAGCAAATAATGAAAGAAAAAACAACTATGTCTCAGCCTTATCGAGGTCTAATTTAATATTATTTAATGTTCGCAGTGTTACTAAATATTGAACTCATGAGTCTCAAAATCTGAACATCGGGCTACCCACTTCAGTTTGTGCAACAAGTTGATTTTTATCTTCCATCTCAGAAATATAATGCAAAATAGAGTGAACTAATAATCTGTAGTTGGCTGTTATATTGTATTAGATGATAAATTTGGGATGTTATTACTTTAGGGTCCATAACTAACCGAGGAAATCGTGGTTTAAGCGCCCACCACGTCAATATGGTCTGTAGACTAACCCTGTTGCATGTGACTTGCCAATTGAAGTACATTACTATCCTATTAGTGTGATTCATAATTTTTTATTCATTTCAATAAGACAAGCAATACTGGTCGGTATACCTGTGCGTTCCACTTAATGAATATAATTCTTTTAATTATTGTACTAATCGGATTGTTTTTTTACGTGTAGAGACAGATAAAGTTTAAAGTCAAGTTGTCCTTGTTCTGACCATAACTTCCACATAGACTCTGGGATCGCCAGTATCGCGTTCACAGTTCTAGTAGTATATCTGTAGGACAAATTAAATCCTACACTTACTGTTCGATAAGTAATAAATTGCATTTTCAGCTATCAAATGAATGAACATACAATAAATAAAATATTAGTTTTAAACGGCAGTAAGTGAACTGAAATAATTATTTTACAAAAAAACCTTGGGCCACCTTGAAGTTACTCCGATTATTATTTCAAGATTTATTTATTTTGTGTTGAAATATCGTTACTTATTACAATAATGTAACAACTCCATTTAAATGATCAATAAATCTCGATTAGACTACTTATTAATTTATTCATCACAATTAATGGTGAATGCAGTTCATTATAAAATTCACACAAAACTCTCTACACGATTCGATTTCGATAAAGAATCGAATATATTCAAAATAATAACTACTGTGTTTGAGTTATTTGCTAATATTTTTAGTGACATCAAATATGGAACAAGGAAATAACACGATCTATCAGAAATTTGTTACTAAGAAGTGAAGTTATAGGAACAAATCTGTGGTAGAATTAAGTTAATTTAGACTCTGAATACAGCGGTACTCAGTAACTGTCACTCGCACAGATAAAATAACAGTTTTGATAGCGTTATATATTTGAAACTAAGAGGAAACAAGACTAGCTTTGAAGCTTAAGTACACTTCTCGTAAATGAGTGATAGATAGAAAAAATTTTAGTCTGTAACTGACTGCTGAGAAATGAAAGTTTTTGACGCAAGATACTCGGTGTAACAATGTAAAATAATTTAGATTATCGACTGAAAACCTCTTCGAAAAGACAGAGACAGGCTGCAGTAGCTAATTAAACTAAAAGCTTCGAAATGATGGGAAGATGTGGTCAAACTTGTAGTTGCTTTTCTCAGACTTATCTACACATAAGATAATGCTAAAACGCTAAACAAGCCTATTGTTTGTGTAGTTGGAGGTAATTGACAGGAACTCCTTATAAACCCAAATATTTTACTGATTAACACCCGTCGGCAACGTGCACTAGCAATAGACAATCAATGTCGAATGCTCACGAAATTCAATCATCCGGACAGAAATCTGAACATAGTGAGATCACGGGTACATAAATAGTATATTAAATGAAAAATGTATTACGTGAAAATTACCTGTGTTTTTATTTTTCCCTGAACGTAAGGCAGCTAACTGTCGGAAAACCAAATCCTGCAAATACTGGAGTATTAACATGTGTACACTAAATAGGCCAATAGTCAAATATGATCGTTCAGCTGAAAGATAAGTTATTGTTAAATTATCAAATTAATGAAGGTACATAAATAAAATGTTATAGTGAATCTACAGATAAAGATTATACTAGAGATGAGCGACATTCACTGTATGGATGCTCTACGTAAAATCTGGTGAACTATAAAGAAATATGTGGGGGGGAACAGAATTCACAATCAAAAACGAGACGGTTAAAATTTGAATATGTAAACTATTAATTTGAAACTCCACAAACATGCAAAAACACCTACTCAAGTTTGGGAGACGCTCCAAGAAGATATACTGAACGTGACACATCGAACAAATTTGACAGACATAGGGTATGATAAGTGGAAGATGCTGATGAGCACACACTATCGATTAGGATTTGAATTGACTCTGAGAAAATGGAGATATGCTACTGTTTGAAAATCTGGCCTTATCTTCTAAGGGAAAAGGACATATTTAGGAGTGAGGTGAACATATACTTCCAACTCGGTTACCGAATGGAAGCTTTCTAACTAATTTTGGTCCTTCCACTAAAGTACTTAATTTAGGTATCAATATGGCAACAGACTCAGACGATGGAAGATAATGATGAAATGCAAATTCCAATTTTTGCTCTAACCTAAATGAAAATGTCACATAGCGATAGGACGATATATATATTCTAATTTTATAATTTGAACACATTAATTTATACAGCGTGATAAATCGTCAAGATTAGACATTAAGTGCCTATGATACTGACATCTTGACCCACTTAAAGATTAGCAACCCTCTATGAAGTTTGAACTTCACCCTACCAAAAAAGAGGTGGCGCGACCGGAGCTTTTCAATATGTTTTAAGAACCAGTTCTGGGCAACATGTTTACAGTTAGTTGAATCTTTGTCGAAAACAAGTTTTGTACTCTATAAAATTCTTGTTTCAAGAGGTTTTTATGTTGATACGACTATTGTGAAAATTCATGCTCCCTAGGAATAAAAGCTTGCTGAAAGACATACAATTAGACTTAATACATTGATTATTTCTATTGCAGATTAACTCCACTACTTTTACAATGAATTACATTAAACATACTCATCCTGACATCTGCTATATGTTGTTTTATGTGGTAACTGAACGTTAGAGTATCATGTAGTATAAACTAATTAATTGGTATCTGTTATGTCCCGATAAGAATGAAAAATGGTGACTTTTGGGATCCATTTATGGACCAATAATATGCGTATATTTTTATCGTATAATTGTTAAGTAACTAAACTTTGCATATTCATGTCCCTCTTATTATGAGCTTTATTTTGACCTTCGAGCTATTATTATACGATCTACCATCCTTGAATTATGCCCTGTTTGTTAATTACTACCTCTCTCATTCACAGCCACATTTGGCTAATTCTTGTACAAATGTTGTTTCATATTTTATGGATGATGTGGTCTGTCTGATCAGTATATAAACCCAGTATGTTTGAAATAAGTTATTCATATCGCATAGGCCGAGATTGGTGTTCTGGACTTGACTGCCTGGGCTAGGCGGAAAGCAGGGCCAATAAGAACTCTAGACTGCTCGTACGGGTTTTATGCGTCGCTGGTCCGATCGATAAATTCACTGCTCTCTAATTGGCGGTATCGTTACGTTATACAATAAACAGGGCACATAGTTCATAAGTTATAACAGTATCCAACTATCATAGCACAGTTGCAAAACTCAAATAATAAAATCTCGAGAATCGAACTTCTGATGAAGCACGAATAACAATATTAAGCAATAAAAACAGTGGTGAATATGATCGATTTCACTGTTTATAAGAATCTACTATTTAACTAAACAATAATTACAGATAAAAAAAGGATAATCGGGATATCTTTGGAATCAATATAACATTTATTAACTTTATTAAATAAGTTGGTGTAGCTCATTAACCAGATTGTGATAAACGTACTCGGTTTTCAGTAGCACTTTCTGTCTCACGATTAATGATATATATTGACAGTTCATATAGAAATAGATGAAACGTGGTTCGAATCTCTGACCGAATAATTAAAAGTTAATTAGGCTAGCCACTAAATAGTCTTTATATTTAAAGCCTACTAACTACTATCTGGTAACTGCCAAAACCAACTAGATTCTTATAAAATTCGTATATTATTACACGGTACATTACTGTACAACAAAAAAGTACAAGCAGAAAGAAAATGAAATATTGCGTACGAATAACTGGAATCTACTGAACAGCAATAAAGGATAATAAAATAGTTAACTAGAGATAAAAATTGATAATACATAGTTAATCACACAAAGTTTACAAAATAATGAGTTTTAATTACCTGCATTACTTTGAGAAAGCAAAATTGAACTAGGAGCGACAATATAGAATCCAATACCCATCAAAAAGTGCATGAAACTCATTTGAGAATTACTGAATACGGAAACGTATTCGCACTCATACAGTCGACGTGAAACATGTACCAAATATATGATTAAAACAGAAATTATGGTTTTGTTGAGTACTGAAGCTAGAAAAAAGATTTTCGAAGTTATATAAATTCAGAAAGATTCAAAATAGAAAGCAACCTAAATGAATAATTATGTCCATACTATTGATCGGATCTGAGAAGAGTTTTTCGAAGTTCAAATAAGGAACTATAACTGGTAGACTTAAACAAGTCAAGGGTGAGACAGTAATTTGTAGATGGGATTGGTACTATAACTCAAAATGATTGCAGCTGCAACCGTGAGCTTGATACAGGTTTATTGCTTTAAAGATACGATTTTGAATGGAGTTGAGAGCGCACACAAATGAAGAGTTATGAAATAGAACGAAACAGATTTCCAATGGATCCTGGTTTTAAATTATTTCTCAATTGAAATCAATTTACGACAAAAACGATTTCTGAATTAACTACATTGCTTAACAAACCTGATATATTTGTGATATTGGCGATAACTCGTAACTACATTAGCTCTATGCCCTCCAAGCTCCAGCTAAACGAAAGGAAGATTTATAACGTACGGAACAAAGAAGATTGATTTACATTCGAGTTTATTCAGTTATTCATCAAACATATTTTGTGGTAATTAGTTACAGACTTTGCCAAACTAAACAAGGACCAAGAATCAGACTGAATTTATTAATACAATGAGAGTAAACTGAACGAAAATCATACTCAAGTAATTATTATTTTAAATAAGGCCAGAACAAACATTGATGCATAAATGTCTGTTCTGGCTTTATTTAAGTTCATAAAGGGAACTAATTGCATAAATTAATATTTTCATCCTCCCGGATTCAATAATTAAAGTATACATATTTAATATTTTAACCAAACTAATTTTTATCTTTGGTCATTCAAACGTAATGAGACGTGAGTAGATTAAAATTGAACAGGATACATTAAAGGAATTACACTTTTAATAATTAGAACTAAAACAGTTTAATATTTACTCATTAATTAAACCTCTTGCTACATAATAATAGAAAAAATTATTGTATAATGACAAAAAGTAAATAGCAAAGTTTACAGCAAGTAGACAAATTTCGCAATAATACTGTGCTTTACTATCCATTTATGGTACCTAAAATCAGAGTAGTCAGTTCAACAACATGAAAAACTTCATTTGGTTGCATGCTTACAAAATAATTATAATCAGAATGAGGTTTGTGAAGACTGTAGTGATTTTAAATGTTGAATTCATAAGTCATGTAAGCTAGAACACCATTGAAAACCTGGAAGCATTGGACTGCCGTTTCGTCCTAGTATGGGACTCCTCAGTGCGCATCCACGATCCCGCACTTACTACTCGAACCCAGGACCTTCGGTCTCGCGCATGAACGCTTAACCACAGAGCCGGCATTCAGCGGTGTTAATGACAGGTATCTACCTCAGACAATGGATAAATGGTTGTGCAACCATTCATGGGTCGACTAAAGTTAGGCATTTACACCGTTGAATGCCGGCTCAGTGCGTTAGTGGTTAAGCGTTCACGCGCAAAAACGTAGGTCCTGGGTTCGAGTAGTAGGTGCAGGGTTGTGTATGAGCGCTTCCGAGGAGTCCCATAGTAGGACGAAACGGCAGTACAGTGCTTCCAGGTTTTCAATGGTAGTCTAGCCTACATCGACTCATGAATTCAACTACAAAATAATTGTGGTATACAATACAAGGATTGGGTAACAAGTATACTGCAACAGTGACAAAATATAAGGGTATGAGAAACAATGTTAAATCCACTTACATAGCATAAATAATTCAACAAGTAGGATACATAATGTAGAGAATATACCAATCATGTAAAAATATTTAAACCATCTGTAAAGAAAGATTTGATACAATTACTTATAAATACGCATATAGTTAATTTATTGACCGGAGAAATTTGAGAAAAAGAAATGATTACGTGTAAAAATATGAAACAATTTTAGTTTGTTAATGAATACCTGATGATTAACTAAATTGACAAACGAAGTGAGAAAGATACTAACAGCTGTACGAATGCAAACAATCCCGAAAACAATGCCAGTTTTTGATAAAACATCTTTAAGTAGAATACTTGGTAAAAAAAAAAATGGAAATCCATAATTTACATAAATGTGGCTTTGAAATGGATGTCATGAAATCTTGACAAACTATTTAACTTAATATCAGCAAGTAAAGATAACAGATAGTAATAATGGTATATCATGAACTGATTAATGTTACGAAATATTAATTAATGAATTTAGAATTAGTGCACGTGAACGAAACGCGACTATACAAAAATACGAAGTTTTCAGTCTGAACATCCCACAGGTCACAAGTTACCACGAAAATGAATTACTTAACAGATTCGTGTGATTTTATCCTACAACGAAACCTATCTTTGAGGTAGCCATCTTCATGAATACTAAATGATAAAGAAAAACTGTTGGGATGCTATGACTCTCTAAAACGGCGAATTAAGAAAAAATGAATAACACCATTTAAAGGTCCAACTAAGGATTACTTATTTAAGCAACACTAGACCTCAGTCAGTCATTCGTATGCGACATACAACCTGGTATATATGTGCATTTGTCCACGCTGCCACACTATCTCAGTACGGCGAGACGCTAGAGTAGTAGGAGTAGCACCAGAAAAGGAAAAAGATATAATTCAAGAAGTTTTCAGGATGAAAAAAGATTGTAAGATAATATACAAAACTTGGGATCTAAGCGAAGACAAAGAGTGAATATATTCCTACCATTTCGGACTATTACGAGTCGTGTAGAAACCAACAACGTAATTTGAACTTAGCTGCACGACTCCGTTTATTAGTGAATGACTTGACGAGCTGATGGAACGTTTGATTCGGGAGCATATAGCTTCTTTCCAACCTATTCCTACATCAGCAAAAATTGGGTGTCCAGATAGTCGGTGGATGAGCATACGTTTCCATATTACCCAGTCAATAAAGATTCATTATCTCACGAATCGATTTAACAACCTTAACTGATACCCTTCATTTAGCCTCAGCATTGCTAACTGGGTGGTTCACACATTGAGACACGTTGATCCACTCGTGCTAACCGCGAATTTAACAATAAACACAGATTCTTACGTTAAAAAATTCTGCAATCAAGAAGTCTGGTGTTAGTGAGGCAATGTATGAAGCTTATGTAATGCCAATAAAATATATTCAGTGATATCTTGAAGAATGGACGGAGTTCTACGAAAAGCAGTTCGGCCGGTGATGACTGACCACATAACGACGCGGAAGTTCGCCAGGAACTTAAACTCCTGAAGCCCCAGAAAACTTAAACTTATTTCTTTCTGCGGAAGATAGAGAACCTTTGGCTAAGGAACTGACTACGTTGTTAGGAAAGGTCAGGGGAATAGAGTGCTCTAACATCTTGGAATAAGAAGACAGTCGTCGGACTCAATTAATGGGGGGTAAGACTACTTCCGATAGTGTTTGAAATATTAGCCTCGGTCATACTTCAAAACATCCAAAACCAGACTGATTTTCGTTCTCGTCGTGAGTGTATCGATCATATATTTACTCCCCCCACCACACACAAAATTTCGTAGTACCGCCTTACTTACTGCAGGCGAACCATCGCTGTTTCTTGATATCATGGCTACCTTCGATTCTTTGGACAGAACTATACTCCAGAGGAACAAGAAAGCAGTAATCAATACCAGCCGAACAAGAGCAGAAAAAGCCAAAGCACAAGCTGAATACACGGAAATAAACAAACAAGTGAAGAGGAGCATTAGAGCCGACAAAGGTAAATATGTGGAAGATTTAGCAACGACGGCGGAAAAGGCTGCAAGAGAAGGAAACATGAGACAACTGTATGACATAGCAAAAAAACTCTCTGGAAATCGCCGCAAACCAGAACGACCAGTGAAAAGCAAGGAAATCACCAACATTGAAGAGCAACAAAACAGGTAGGTAGAACACTTCAAAGAACTCTTGAATCGACCAGCTCCACTGAACCCACACAGCATCGAAGCAGCACCCACGGACCTCCCAATCAAAGTTAGCCCACCAACAATTGAAGAAATCAGCATGGCCATTAGACAAATCAAGAGTGGCAAAGCGGCAGGACTGGACAACATCCCTGCAGAGGCACTAAAAGCAGACGTAGCGGCAACTGCAAGGATACTCTACATTCTCTTCAATAAGATTTGGAATGAGGAACAAGTACCAAAAGACTGGAAAGAAAAACTTCTGATCAAAATACCGAAGAAAGGTGATCTCAGCAAGTGTGATAACTACAGCGGCATCACTCTTCTCTCAATACCGGGGAAAGCCTTCAACAGGGTATTGTTAAACAGAATGAAGGACTGCGTAGACGCCCAACTTCGTGACTAACAGGCAGGATTCCGTAAGGATAGATCGTGTACAGACCAAATCGCAACTCTACGGATCATTGTGGAACAATCAATTGAATGGAATTCATCACTCTACATCAACTTCATTGACTACGAAAAGGCATTTGATAGCGTGGACAGAACAACACTATGGAAACTTCTTCGACACTACGGCGTGCCTCAGAAGATAGTCAATATCATACAGAACTCATATGATGGATTACACTGCAAAATCGTGCATGGAGGACAATTGACAGACTCGTTCGAGGTAAAGATCGGCGTCAGGCAAGGCTGCTAACTCTCACCCTTTCTCTTTCTCCTGGTGATCGACTGGATCATGAAGACGTCAACGTCTGAAGGAAAGCGCGGGATACAATGGACATCTAAGATGCAGTTGGATGATCTAGACTTCGCAGACGATCTGGCCCTTCTATCCCAAACGCAACAACAGATGCAGGAGAAGACGAAGAGTGTGGCAGCAGCCTCAGCTGCAATAGGTCTCAATATACACAAAGGGAAAAGCAAGATTCTCCGATACAACACAGAATGCACCAATCCAATCACAATTGACGGAGAAGATTTGGAAGATGTAAAAACCTTTACATATTCGGGCAGCATCATTGATGAACAGGGTGGATCTGATGCAGATGTGAAGGCGCGGATCGGCAAAGCAAGAGCAGCATATTTACAACTGAAGAACATCTGGAACTCAAAGTAACTGTCAACCAACACCAAGGTCAGGATTTTCAATACAAATGTCAAGACAGTTCTACTATATGGGGCATGACAGCGATGCTGCCTTCCCACAAGGAGGGGTGGGGTTAGAAAAGGTCAACCCTAAAAATGTCACACCTCACCTTACCTCACGGATTTCCGTCTCCGGCGGTAAGGCCCTTTGAAGAACGGAGCTAACACGTCAAAAACCTTCCACAAAAAGGCCGTGCGCGACCGGCCTCAAGCAGTTGTCCCTTGGGCTCTGAGGTCATGCTCCCAGGTCGTCAAGACCAACACTAATCCAATTTCCTTTTCAGGTTCCTCAAGGAATACCCTTCCACGGTGTGGGCAGCCGGGAAGTGATATCAGCCCTCATACCCGTAACAGCACAAGAGACCAAGGTGGTCACATTCAAATCCTTCCTACACTTCCTAATACCTCTCTTATCTCCATGACTAACCCTCCTCACGTCTCTTTATCACCTCGCACCGCTAGGGCAAACGATTCGAGTACGTGGAACGCCATTCCTGGTCTCCTGAAACCACGCTCTAAACTACACGTAGGAGCTTTTAACGTACGAACACTTTGCCAAATAGGACAGCAGGCTTTCTTAGCTAAAACTTTAGAATCTCGCGCCATCGATGTGTGCTGCGTCTCCGAAACGCGCATACAGGATCCAAGTAGCGTCATTCATTTGACCTCACCATGCCAAAATAAAGAACCGACTCGATTTACGCTTCGTGTATCTGGAAGCCCTGATTCTGCTTCCCGTGGCCTCGCCGGCGTAGGTATAGCATTGAGTCCTAGGGCAGAACTAGCTCTCTTAGAGTGGATCCCAGTAGACAGTCGTTTGTGCGCTGTCCGACTGAACGGAACAGTAAGAATCCGGAAAGATAGGGACACTCGTCGTTGCCTCTTCGTCGTCTCTGCCTATTCCCCCACTGACTGCAGCTCAGATGATGCAAAAGATGAGTTTTACAGAAAGCTTTCGGACCTTCTCCGAAAAGCCAAGCGCTCGGATGTAGTAATAGTGGCCGGTGACTTTAATGCTCAAGTAGGTAAACTAAGCGATAGGGAAAGACACCTAGGTGGATCTTATGGTGTCGTGGCTCAGAGAACAGATAATGGCGACCGTCTGTTGCAGCTATGCTCAGATAACCGCCTGTTCCTTGCAAATACTAACTTTAAACATAAGGAAAAACATCTTTTAACATGGAGACCCCCTAATTCGTCCCAACGTTGGGCCCAAATAGATCACATCGCTATCAGCCACCGATGGAGGGGCTCGATAGAAGACTGTCGCTCATTCTGGAGCACATGCTTAGATTCAGATCATGCTCTAGTGCGAGCGCGTATTTGTTTGCGTCTTACTGGACGTAGGGAAGACGCTGCAAGGAAACCTCTTAGGGGCCTACTTAATGATAGTCAAGCTAAGAGTATATTTCAGGAACAACTAGGAAAACAGTTAGGCAGCCATGTATGTGATGCCCACCCCGATGCAGCATGGAATGATATCCGAAAAGCTGTGGAAACAGCAGTGATATCTGCTAGTAAGGTAAACCAGAAGGTTAGGGAGCAACACTGGATCTCAGCAGCATCTATCGCACTGATAGATGCTCGGAAACTCATTCCACCTGGCCCTGAACATAATGAAAAGCGGAGTCAGCTTAAGCGCAAGCTGACAAGAAGCCTACGCAATGATCGCGAACAGTGGTGGGTGGCGAAAGCAAGAGAGATGGAAAAGGCAGCGGCAATAGGTAATAGCAGACAATTGTTCAGACTCGTTAAGGAAACCGGTATTAGGAACCCGACCGTTAGCGGAACAATCTCAGAGAAAGATGGACATATTATTCATTCTCAATCCAGGAGATTGGATCGATGGGCAGAACACTTTAGGGATCAGTTCAACTGGCCTTCAGCCACACTTCGGTTCCCCACGATCTCTAGTCAACCTGAATGGCAAGTTAATGTAGGTCCTCCGTCCCTTTACGAAGTTGGAAAAGCCATAGGAAATCTGAAACGAGGGAGAGCAGCAGGCCCTCACAGGTTTACTCCTGAGATTTTTAAGGATGGTGGTCCAGTATTAGCAATGAGATTAACCGAGGTCTTAGGTAGAATTTGGGAAATGGACGTAATCCCATCTGACTGGTCTCAATCACTGATTGTGCCAGTCTATAAGAAAGGACAAAAGTCCTCTTGTGACAATCACAGAGGAATCAGTTTGACTAATATAGTGTCTAAAATATTAGCTTCAATAATACTTCGACGCCTAACTAAAGCTCGTGAAGAGCAGACTAGAGAAAATCAGGCTGGTTTTCGACCTGGACGTGGTTGTATAGACCAGATATTCACACTACGCCAGGTTCTAGAACACAGACACACATTCAGACGCCCCACAATGGTAGTATTTCTCGACCTTAAGGCGGCATTCGACTCTGTTGATCGTGAGGTTCTATGGCAGTGTTTGTCACTGAAAGGAGTACCAAAGAAGTACATTAACCTTATAAAGGCTCTCTACTCGAACACAACTGATCGAGTGAGAGCTTATGGCGAACTGTCATCAGAATTGATTACCTCAAGTGGTGTTCGTCAGGGCTGTCCACTCTCCCCATTCTTGTTCAACTTTGTGGTCGACGTTCTTTTAGAGATAACACTTTCCTCGTCTAAATTTCCACGGGTTCAACTTCTACCGGGAGGTTCACTTGTTGACTTAGAATATGCAGATGACATAGTTTTATTTGGTGAAGACGCTGACAAAATGCAGAGTCTTCTGACCACTCTAAGCAACAATGCAAGCATGTTCGGGATGCGATTCTCTCCCTCGAAATGCAAAATGTTGCTTCAGGATTGGGTTACATCGACACCCGAACTAGTGATAGGGAGTGAAGTAGTTGAGTGTGTCGACCGCTTCACTTATCTTGGAAGTCTGATCAGCCCTTGTGGTCTGGTGTGTGACGAAATCTCAGCACGGATACAGAAGGCTCGACTAGCTTTTGCCAACTTGCGTCATTTATGGCGTAGGCGAGATATCCGTCTATCAACCAAAGGACGTGTTTACTGCGCAGCAGTTCGTTCCGTCCTACTTTATGGCAGTGAAACATGGCCGGCAAGAGTAGAGGATATCCGTAGGCTACTAGTATTTGATCATAGGTGTCTTCGAAACATTGCTCGTATATCCTAGGACCATCGAGTAAGTAATGCGGTTGTTAGGAAACGGGTACTAGGTAAGGATGGCAAATCAATTGATGAAGTAGTGAAACTTCATCAGTTGAGATGGCTGGGACACGTGTTACGTATGCCCAACGACCGACTGCCTCGACGTGCTATGTTCAGTGGTATAGGAGTAGGTTGGAAGAAAGCTAGGGGCGGCCAAACCCAAACATGGCACAAGTCTATGAAGTCACTGTCAAGTGGACTGAGTCATGTTGGTAGGTGTAGACTACCTGGTTGGGGACCGCGAGATGATAGCAACCGATGGTTAGAGACCCTGAATGACATGGCTCAAAATCGTTTGCAATGGCGCAGGTGCATCCACTCTCTGTGTTCTCTCAAATTCTAATCTTCTGAATTCTCCATGTCCCTTTTTTCCTCTTTCCAAATTTCTTTCACTGGATTATACTCTTTAAATAACATCTCCAAACCCTAATCTTCCCGACTACTGCTTATACTTTTATTACCTCTACCACTATGGGATTTGAATCGACAACTGCATCTCTGTGCTAATGTGGTGTGGCAACTCGAACTGATGTACGTACGTACGAAGTTCTACGTTGTTACTGACTGACTGATATGGGGCAGAAACCTGGAGAATTACGAAGGCCATCATCCAGAAAATACAGGTGTTTATTAACAGTTGTCTACGCAAAATACTTCGGATCCGTTGGCCGGACACTATTAGCAACAACGTACTGTGGGAGAGAACAAACCAGATCCCAGCTGAGGAAGAAATCAGGAAGAAGCGCTGGAAGTGGATAGGACACACATTGAGGAAAGCACCCAACTGCGTCACAAGACAAGCCCTCACATGGAATCCTCAAGGCCAAAGGAAAAGAGGAAGACCAAAGAACACATTACGCCGAGAAATGGAGATAGACATGAGAAAAATGAACAAGAATTGGATGGAACTAGAAAAGAAGGCCCAGGACAGAGTGGGTTGGCGAATGCTGGTCGGCGGCCTATGCTCCATTGGGAGTAACAGGCGTAAGTAAGTAAGTAAGTATACTCCGGGATAGTCTGTTGAAGGGTGTATCTGAGTTTGCTATAATCTTGAGGGTTCTCTATAAAAACACCTCAGGCAGACTGAGGGAATACAACAACCTCTTTCCATTTTAAATAAACAATATATTTCTAGTATCCCAATGAGTAGAAAATTTGGATTTTGACATTTCGTCACTTAGTGTAAGCCACTTATTCAGAGAATAAATAACCAAATAAAAATTTAATCCGTTTAAATAGTACAACGGAACAACAAGAATGTTATGTAATCAATAAAAAAAACAAGTCTGAATAAATCAATGTCATGTCATTTCGGTTAAGGTGATTCATAAGCTACATGTATGTAAATTTGTGTATATGTAAGCGTGCACTGATGAGATGATGTCACTTTTTGATAAGACCACGTTGTTGCTCTTCGTCACTTGATTCGTAATCCAATTACGATTGGAAGTACCACTAAGTAGTTGTCTCATTACATATCCTTATATGCAATCAATCTTTTATATATTACCACCATTGTGTTAAGTACTATAAATTTGTTCATCTTGTGTTAATGATGTATGGAAACTTGAACCGATGTATATATGTGCTTGGTTCTACGTTGTACCTGACTGATTTTCTGATGTGCACAAAACATTACCAAGCCAATTCAATAAATACCAGTTTAACATCCTGGTCAACCGAGATTCTTATGATAATAAGATACATTTGTAATATTAAAATGAGTAGGAAAATAAATTTCTGATGTCTAATACCATGAACGGTACGCCAAGTTCTCAATTTATTTGAGACTATCAAGTCAAATCTTAGCAATCAGTTTTCCTTAAAAAAGTCCGTAGTAAGGGTATTCTTTTTGTCTGTACGTATAGGTTTGTAAACTAATCTTATGTTAAAAATAAAAACAGAGGTAAAGAATTTATCTTACCCTCGACATATTTTGTGTGGATGAAGGTGGGAATTCAAGAAATACTAACATATTCATTTGCAAAAGAGTCACAGCTACACGTTTGTATAAAACACTTGACAATGATTAATGGGGAACAATAAAAACTAATTCTGAAGTGTAGCAAACTGAAACAGGACACATTACTACAGAATTACCTTTTAGGAACTCTTGAATACTTTAAATATTCACAATACTGGGGGTTCGACTTTCCAAACAGGAGAAAATGTTGTATGAACAGCGGAGAATATGAGCCATAGAAGTGATAGAAAATTGCGAAGAATATACAAGCGATCCCAAGACCACTAAATATTCTCGGAAGTCGTGATAGAATGTTTACAAATATTGTGTCCTAAAGAATTAAGACATGTAGTATTCTTATAATAACTGATGAACTACATAAATGTTGGATATAATTATTTTGCAGTACCCTATTATTTATTTGTTAAATAACAAAGTAAAGGTCAATATAGCATGCCCTGAAACGTATATTATACTAGGGTTAACTGGCGCAAATAGGATGACCAAATGCAAGAGACCAAGAACCTGCGACTTATGCTAATTTGTTACATACATGTTACCTATTCGTTTGTATTGGACACCTCACAGAGACCACCTCGAACTACTCCACAGTAGAAAGCTAAATAACATATTAGTGTTACAAACGCTGGTTTTATAGCTTAAACCAGACGATAGGTAGGAACCGAGAAGAAAGTTGCGAGTAGATGTTAAAGTGAGGAAACAGTTTATCCATGCAAACACTACTTACCATACATGGAATAGTACCGAGTACGCTTAATGAGCAATATGTACTTCAATCGTAATCTGCATCAGGAGCAGATGCTTCTAATAATCTGATTTAGATATATGTATCATTCATCTTATAGCCACAAATAAAATTTATAGACATTTATGCATTAGCATACATGTCTATTAATTTTAGTCATTTCAAAAAGGATACAGACACCTATCATTCCGCTTTTGACAAAATACAAAAGCGAGGGGCTACAATAACTTCAAAAGTGTGATTTTGACATTCGGTGTAGTAGTTAATTAAAATCAGGGAGGATTGATCTAATTAGATCGAACCTGGATCCAGGTTGATTAGTCGACTTATAAGTGCAACAAGATTCACTTATTTGTAAAAACAGAACTCTACTTAATGTATTTTCACCCAATCAACCTGATCTACCATCGTAAACAGCATTTAGAAATGAGTTACATCGTTTAGTGTCACTGGATAGTCCATTTAAGCGAACTTTGTCCTTAATGACCTTGGAAATAACAACGCGCACACATTTTCAGCATGTACACATTCCCAATGGCAAAACTCTCAAATTTCAAGTATTGTATAATGGTATTAGAAAAGGAGATGTTCTTCAGGCAGTTTAATTTAGTGGCAAAAAAAAGAGTTACTGACGATGGAATGGTATAGTCCGTGTGACATTTCTCCTACAACAGAAAGGTGAAACAAGATATTAACAATAAAAGTCTTCAATCCTCACTAATAAGGATAGTAGGTTTGAAGACCTGTGTTAATCCTCGCAGCTCGTTTTCCAGTGGAGGTTCGGCTTCTTCTGGAGAATATTCACTAATAGTGCTGATAACACTTGTTCAGGTAAGGCGTTCCGCTTAATGACTACTTGATGGGAAAAACGGAACCACGCCTACAAGGCTGAGCCATGCCATCCAATTGGATTAATGTTCCTGCATTCACTAATATTGACGTTCTCTTGGTGTTACATGTTGAATATCGATTTTCCCAGTTATCTCATGATCAGCTTTGAGGGTTGTGTGGTTAGAATCCAGTGCCACTACAAGTCTACTAAATACATATCAACCGGATGAGCGCTTTTCTTGTCTATTTTTCCCCAAATGCCCTGGTATGGCCGAGAGCGGAGTGGGTTCGCCCTCCCTCTCGAAATACTCTCACACGGCCACGCGTATAAAGCCTCTGCCAGGGAAGTCCTACTCACTGCCTTCTCGTGGCGGGGGTGTTGTTTACGAAAATGAGGGGACGAAAAGCGAATATCCGGAGCTTTAACCAGATCCCAAACCAATGGTGCACATGGGCTCCAGTATCCTGCGGGAAAAAATGGCGTATGAACCAATTTTCGGTCACCGGCTACCATGGGACTGCATCTCCTTACGATGCTCCACTGCCTTAAGGGTTTGACCATTGGGTCAAAGGCTCGAGGTGTGGCCCCCTAAGAAAACCACCTGCTTCGGTTTGGGCACCCGAGCAGTATCACACACAATTAACGAACTGGACTGTTTATGATCGTGGAAACTAATTCTCTTGCTTCGACGAACAATCAAATGATTCAAATATTATTATTGCTATTATTATTGCTACTATTATTATTATTATTATTATTATTATTATTATTATTATTTACTACATCATTATTCACCCTCTTTTATTCCTACTCTGTCTAAACGTATTTTTTTCGACTTATAGAGCAGCTCGTTTATGGTGGAAATTCGACTGTATCTAAACGTTCTCCAGTCACTGCCCGGTTGAAAATTGTACGCTACCACCTAATACGAATACTGGAGCAGTTTTTCTGAAACCACGTGCACCATTCAAACTAGCTGCCTTCAACGTTCGCACATTTATGCAGGTCGAACAACAGATAGGGATGGCTATGTCTTTAGGAAGTCTTATTATTGATGTTTGTTGTCTATCCGAGACCCGTATTCAAGACTCTGGCGAAGTACTACAAATTCGATCTCCATCTGTCGCTTCGAAAAGCTTGTTTTACGTGCGCTTATCCGGGGACCCTGTGGCACCTTCGTCTGGTCTTGCTGGCGTTGGTGTCGCATTAAGCGCTAGAGCAGAGGCAGCACTAATCGATAGGATCCCCATTAACAGTCGGTTATTTTCTGTTAGATTAGAAAGTTCCATCAAAGTGAGAAGAAATCGGCGTGAGAAACAATGTCTTTCCGTCATCTCCACCTATACCCCGACAGATTGCAGCCCGGATGCAATCAAGGATGAATTCTACCACCAGTCAACTGTTCGACAGATATTGTAGTACTAGCCGGAGACTTGAATGCTCAGGTCGGGCGTCTAGACACAGAAGAGCGTTGTTTAGGTGGCCGATTGGGACTTGTTGGTCGCAGGACAGATAACGAGGACCGTCTAATGAAACTGTGCACAGACCACAACCTATTTTTGACTAGCACTAACTTCCGGTACAGCCATCGCCGATGTGCCACCTGGCGTCCTCCCTCTGCATCTCAAGCCTGGACTCAGGTTGATCCCATCGCGATCAGTTACCGCTGGCGTGGTTGTGTACAAGACTGCCTCTCGTTTTGGAGTACCTATCTAGACTCCGATCATGCCTTGGTCTGCGCCTATCTTACCTTACTTTTCAGTGGCCAACGAAGTGACCGTCACCAAAGGGTTGATGTTAGCAAGTTGGTTGCAACTTCTGTTGCTAGTAAGTGTCAAACAGCTAGCTTCTAGGCTAGCTACCATTCCACCGAAATGTATAGATGAGCATTGGTTGCAATTGCATGACACCATCAAAATGGCGAGTAAAGTCAGTTGTGGGTTCGCAAAACGTCCCGCTTACAAGCACTGGGTTTCTTCAGGCTCCGTACAACTCATCGAAGCCCGTCGGTCTACTCCGGGTAACCGTGAGTTTGACCACAAACGACGACTGTTACGTAATGAAACCGAGCAAAGCTTGCGTACGGACCGAGAAGCCTGGTGTTCGGAGCGTGCTAATGAGCTGGAGGCAGAAGCTGCATCTGGTAACTACCGGAAGCTCTTCCAACCCACCCGAGCCACTGGCAGCAAGAAGTCTTGTGTGGGCGAAACAATCTGCGAGGATGACCGGGTGCCAATCACTAACATCCATCGACGTCTTGGACGATGGGCAGTCCAACTGGCCTGTTGCTCCGGCAACATCGGTCAGACTGTCCTGCCCCCCCCCATGGCAGGTGACGACTGATCCACCAAATGAGGCGGAAGTCCGCAAGGAACTCCAACTCTTGAAGCGTTACAAATCACCTGGCTCAGATGACTTACCTCCGCCTCCTTTTAAAGATGGTGGTGACTTTGTGACTAAGGAACTGACGACGTTGTTTAGAAAGATCTAGGAACTAGAGAGTGTATCAACGTCATGGAATGTGTCGATAGTTGTCACTGTCTTTAAAAAGGGTTCACGTCGTTCCTGTAACAACTATCGGGGGATAAGTCTACTTCCGATTGCGTCCAAGCTATTGGCTTCCGTCATACTTCGTAGGTTGTTCCAAACCCGAGAAAGATTGACTCGCGAGGAGCAGGCTGGGTTTCGTTCTGGTCGAGGATGTATTGATCATATCTTCACCCTCCGCCAAATGTTAGAACACCGCCATACTTATCAAAGGCCAACAATCGTAGTGTTTCTTGACATCAGGGCTGCCTTCGATTCGTTGGATAGGACTGTTCTCTGGGATTGTCTATTGAAGAAGGGTGTGCCTGAGAAGTTTATTAACATCCTAAAGGCCCTATATACAAACACCTCAGGCAGAGTGAGGGCATACAACCACCTCTCTCCATTGTTCCATTCGAGCAGTGGGGTTAGGCAGGGTTGCCCAATCTCACCATTCCTCTTCAACTTTGCCATCGATGACATTCTGGAAACGGCTCTGATGGATGTATGCATATGATATTGTCTTACTGCGCGATAATGCCCAAGACATGCGATTCGCGCTTAATCAGTTGGCAATCAGTGTCCGTAGGTATGACATGTGCTTCGCACCTTCGAAGTACAAAGTACTTCTACAAGACTGGCAGGATCCTAATCCTGTACTCACTCTGGATGGTGAGCAGATAGAAGTAGTCGAGAAGTTCGTGTATCTGGATAGCTGCATAAGTGCTGGTGGTGGCGTGAGTGATGAGATCAGTGCACGTATAGTGAAAGCCAGAGCGGCTTATACCAATCTGGGCCATCTTTGGTGCCTTCGTGATGTTAGTCTGGCTGTAAAAGGTCGGATCTACAACGCGTCAGTGAGAGCAGTTATGCTCTATGCTTGTGAAACCTGGCCTCTCCGAGTTGAGGACGTAAGACGACTCTCTGTGTTTGATCATCGCTGTCTCCGAAGGATTGCTGACATCCAGTGGCAACACCATGTTAGTAATGCAGAGGTTCGGCATCGTGTATTCGGGCACAGAGACGATAATGCAATTGTTGTCACCATCTTGAAACACCGACTTCGGTGGCTTCAACATGCTCTACGAATGTCGTCCCAGAAAATTCCACGTCGTGCATTATTTGCCGACTCTGGGACTGGTTGGAAAAAGCGGAGAGGTGGTCAGTGTATGACATGGTGTCGTGGTATGAAAGAAAGCTGCAAAAGACTGGCTTGTGTTGGTCCTTCACGACTCCCTGGCTGGGGTCCGAGAGATGGTGCTGCACAGTGGCTAGAGACGTCATCAGATATGGCTCATAATAGAAGCCAGTGGCGATCCTGCTGTAACAACACGATTACTCCCATTGCCTTTTTCTCCGAGAGATTATCGCCAGCACAAGAACGTTATAGTACCTTTGGACGCGAACTCTTAGCTATGTATTTAGCAGTAAAACATTTCAACTTTTTGCTACAGGGTCGTGATTTCATCATTATGACAGATCACAAACCCCTTTGCCATTCTTTTAGCACATCGTATGACAAACACTCCCCACGAGAAGCAAGACAACTTGATTATATCTCCCAATTTACCACAGACATCAGGTTTATCAAAGGTCACACGAACATTGTCGCAGATGCACTATCTAGGAGGGATATCAATACGATGGTACTCAATCATGACATCAGCCTTGAAACCTTGGCCAAATTACAAGCAGACGATGCAGAATTGAAAGTCTGCAAAGAAAAGTTTAGCTTAGATCTCAAAGCTGTACCAATTCCTCTTTCAGATGCATTTATCATGTGCGACACTTCGACAGGCAACAATCGTCCGTTTGTCCCACACGCTTGCCGACGAAAAATATCTCAGCACTTGCACGGTCTTTCACATCCAGGCATCAGAGCAACAACAAAGCTCATTGCCGAACGTTTTGTGTGGCCTAAAATCAACTTGGATGTTAAACGATGGACACGTATCTGCCTTCAGTGCCAACGCAGTAAAACGCAGAAGCACACCTACAGTCCAATTGGGAAGTTCCCTATCCCTGACAAACGCTTCCAGCACGTGCATTTAGATTTAGTTGGGCCTTTGCCACCATCAAACTCTTTCACACATATCCTCACCGC